CAAGAATGAAACTCTGCTGGCTCAAAAAGCCAATTTGCTGGTCTAATTACCATGTCAGGGCACTGCCAATGGCTAAACTCAAGGATATGCTCAATGAAGTAGCACCAGTGATTAAACTGGACATTCTCCAAAAGTATTTCTTGCACATCCACAGGTTTAAGGAAATCAAAAAAAACCCCACAGGCTGTGATGGCTGAGGGGCTGCCAGGAAGGGGAGCTGAGAGTAATAATATGAGCATCAGAACAGATCATGAAAAGTCATGTGCCAGCAACAGCAGCAGACTGGACTCTGACGTAGAAGGCCCCTTCTAGGCATATGCCTTAAGTGCTCCATCATATGCACAGACTGGCAGGACTTGCCATTAGATAGTATTCAATTAACTTCACAACTGAGTGTTTTTAGCAAAATTAGATACAAAAAGTACTGACTACACGCTAACGTGGTCTCGCCTTCCATGGTACAATACATACTTCTTCAATTACTTCTACAAGTTTGCACCTCAGGTTTTCCAGTTCAATGGTTAAGGTCTTCTTTTCCTCATGAAGAGATATGATTTGATCTCGCAGCTCTACAGTTTGAGGAAGGAAATGAAAAATATATTTTATTCTTGTAAGAAAACAACAAAGGAAATGTCATAGCAATGCAAGTACAATCGAGTATGAAACAACTTAACGGCATACAAAGCGCCAGTTGTATTCAAGGTACATCCTCAATAATTTAGGAACTTCACATAAGTGTTCAAGTAATGGATCTATAACTGGGCCACAGTTTCAGATTTACTCTATTGAGGTAAGCTGCCTTGTTCAGTTCTGTCTTTATTTGCATTCTGAATGATTCATTTCCTGCTATAACAAGGCCAATCCTGCCACCACAGAGTATCCTCAGTCCTACTCAGGAGACCGTCACATCACAGAGACTCTAGTTCGGAGGTAGCAGAAAGCAATTTTTAATAGGCATCCTTTAAAACAAATTAATGCACTTCAATTCTTTTTGGATCATGAGTTCTCGTCACAAGGGAAATAAACAAAACAACAGGCAGTTAATACCTGGGAGGTTTTCACTGAAGAAATTGTCCTGAACAGCTGCCAATTTATAGTCTTTGTAACATTATGTGAACAGAGTCAGAATATAACCTTTACTGATGGAAGAGCTAATGCTTGTAATTTTCCCCTCAGAATTTTTGTTCCTTAATTATCAAAATATGAAATAAATTAAATTCACAGTGGAATAAAACATTTGATTATAATCACTTCTTAACAGGATATCAGTTTGCATACATAATATATCAAGGTTTAGGTTAACATAACACCACAAAAATATAAATTTATTGATATATATTAGCTTTCAGTAACTGCTCTCATTCCCTACCTGCTTCCAGTATTTCATAGCACCGCCGTTCATTGAATACCAGTCACGAGTTGAGAAAATTGTTGCTAAAAATCAATTGCAGATGACGATGACATGCCGGATGCCATTCTGTTTGGTCTCACATCTTGAAAATGTTGATTTTACTCCAGCCCCCGCCTCCCCTCCCCCAATTCAGGAGCCTCAGATTCATTTTCCTCCAAGTTAAAGACACACACATTCTAAAGTAAATAAAAAGACCTGTTTTCCCCGAAGATTCTTGAACCAAATCGTCTGGTTTATGGATTTGTGCTTTCCAGTGAAATTAATGGGGAAAAAAGTCTTACTGAAATTTATGGTAACTGGACTAAGGCAGGTCTTACAATACATGTATCAACCTCATTATCCAGAGAAGAAAGCATATCCATATACCTAAATCTTTATAAATGCATACAAGAAATGTTTCTTTTCAGATACAGAGTGTGCACTAAACTGCTTGACCAACACAGCTGAGTTTTCAGTTCTTGTTATATCCGAAAGGACAGCTAAAAAGAAAACTCAAGACCTATAAATGAGTTTCAGGTACTGCTCTGAGACCACTCTACACTTCCATCAGGAACTTACTATCACCTTTCCCTAACCTATGAGATACCTTCCTCTTCTTTTGCTTACTGAGAGACAAAATTTTATCCCTTTAATAAATGAGAGGGTGTTAATCAAAGAGCCTCAGACTGTACTACCTTATTTGTATATCCTTACAGAAAAGCAGTGGGAGGGAAGGAATCATTCCAAGAAACATCCGATATTTTGTTGAATGGTGAGAAGGCTAAAAGACTTCCCAGATCCCCAACACAAAACACAAATATTTGGAATCATAAACACATACAGAAGAGCAGATTTCACCTTGGACAACACCACAAAGCATTAAGAGGAGTTTTGAAAACACCTCTTTCATTACATATGGTCTTTCACTTAGCAGGTAATCCAAGACGTAACTTCAGATTTTTCCCTGAAGACAAATGCCATGCAGTTTGGTTTACGCTAGGGACACAGCCCTGATTCTGCCTTTTGGTACATGTTGTCAGATCACTCTGCTACTATACACACACATGCTTCTCTCCAGGCACAGGGATGGAATACCTTCTCCTATAGCAAATGGGATGCCAATGGTTTTAAAAATACTCAGCACTTGTAAAAGTAAGGTCATTAACATTTAATAATACGGCCAGAGAGAGGAGCAGAAGCCAGGAGTTCTAAATCCTTTACAACATGCCACATTTCATTCTTTAATGAATTCTCCATTAGACAGAAAGCATATGCATCAGAGCCTTTCTAAAATATTTCTCTAATTTGACCCTGCTACCCTCCTAACCACATTCTCCTCTGATCTGCAGCCAGAGTCTTTGCTCTTTTTAAATGTATCCTTGCATCTTTCTCCAATAAAAGTCAGGAGGAACACCAGAGTTTTATTTCCAATTCAGATGGTTTGCATGGTGTCGATCACACCGTTCCCTGCCTCTTTTCCTACATCTATAGGATGGAAAACTGCTTATTATAGAAGGGTACTATGACATCTTATTTCTTGGGTGGGATTTTTTTAAAGCATTTTTACAACATTCATTCTTTTATATTAGTTATACTTTGTACCACTTCATTGAGGCTGCTGCATTCAAACAGAAAGCAATTAACAAGGTCAGGCTGAAAGTTCAGGACAGCTGTACTTAGACATCATTTGCTATTGTAACTTACTACCAGGAAAAAAGTGAAAGCTTTTTCTTAAAAAGTGAACCACTTAATCTCTCTCTCTGTCACCAAATGCAGAATGTGGGCATTCCCCTTTTTTGGAAGGCATACAGAATCACAATGACTTCATCACAAAGTTAGATGAGAAAGGAAGGCAGATCTTGGGATTACAGAAATACGAACTGCCTTTCAAAAAAGAACCAGAAATTTCTTAATAAAGCACAGATTTCTCTTATTTCCATGTTCCTGAGCTTTGCTGCTTCACCCAGTAAAACAGTCCCTTTTTAGGTTGCTTGTTTGGTAATAGCTCTGGAATATGAATGAAGTTTGTGCATACAAAGGTACACAATGGAAACAGAAATGGAGAGTCCTGTCTTACAAGCTTTGAAATAGTGACATTGTAGCTGAAGCAATACCAAGGTGACCTTGTCCTTCTACTCAACTTTTACTTTGTTAAGGATCTGAAGAAATATTTCTTTTACCGACTCAGTAACATTGAACTCTCTTAGCTGTGTAGATCTCATTTTCCTATTGCATTGTAACTTACTTTGCAGGCTGTATATACTATACATTACACAGCATCACTACAAGCCTACCATGTTCTTACAGTCTTTCCTGGAAATCCTTTGATGACCACTCTCAGAAGCATGACTCGGAGCCAGTCGGATCTCTGGTCCAAACCAATACTGCCATTCTTTAGACAACTTTTGCGTTGTATGGTGGTGTAGGCTTAGCAACAATGCTTACCTTTTATTTGCTGCTGACAATGCACAGAATTGCATGATCCAGAGTTAGCTTCTGTATCTGTGGATGAATCATCTTCATCAATGTTAATCTCCTCAGTGATAATTTCTGGGCCCAGTTTTGCCATATAAAGCATACTGATTCTTTTCAAGGTCTTATTTTCTTTGTTCAGCTGAAAGTTGAGAAGCACAAACAGTAAGAAGCTAATTAGTCTGTCTTTAAGCTGCTGTGCAAGAAAAAAAAAAGTCAACTGTATTTTTTTTTCCCTTATCATGAAAAGATCTATCAAAGAAAGAAGACAAAGTGACATTAGATTAAATTCTCCATTCAACATTAAAATGGTCTGAAGATGGGAAGCTTGTCCTTCTTCTCCTCTGAGGAGGCTTGAATTCAACATGCTGCTTCATCCATGCCCTTCTTTCCTCTCTGATACTTCTGACTAATAAATACCCTGGGTAGGTTCAAATCAAATCATCAGCTATCAAGCTTACTTAATGCTACACGTTCTTCGTGATAGCTGCTTCAGCTCCTTACCCTTAAGCATGTACGAGTATCAACAGGAGCCCTAACTGAATGACCTGAAGAAGGGCCTTTGTTCTGGAAGGCTCGTCTGGTTTTGCGAGCTGTATCAATTGGTCAAATGAAAACTCTTACCTCCTTCTACGCCCTTATTTTGCTTATAAACTACAAACACCACAACTACTATACTCCCAATCACGGCAGAATTACTTAAAAATTCTTTTGAATTATTTTCAATCTCAGGAATTACTACTGTAGGGTCAATATACGTAAGATGAAAGCCGTATCATAAACCAATTCTTTACGGGTCAAACCACAAGTCAGAAAACACTCTGGGCTGGATGCTTAAACACATGCCTAGGTGGTGGATGATACAGAAGAGATTCTGTAATGCACCTCTGTCTTGACCAAGGTGCCAGGAAAAACTGAACAGGAATTGCTGCAAATGTTTCACTCTCACCATTTCTTTCACTGTCCTGCATCTAGACACCCCATGCCAGCAGCTCTTGGCAAGCTCAGCACAGTCTCAGGGGTGTTCAGGCATATGTTGACGTGACTGTCCACTCACCAGCAAAGCATTCCCTGCATTCAGGTCTAAGAATGAGGCTCAATTTTCTACTAATGACGTACAACTTGTTGAAGTCAACATGCACTTCAGAAGTCCAATATTTACCTTGAAATAAAATGTATGCTGAACAGTTAGGCTGACCCTGAAGTTTTACCTACGCAATCCTCTTTGATCCCACCTTTCCTCAGCCCCCCAACTACAGGAGATTTACTCAAGAACTTCTTCATCTCATTCCCAAAGAATCAAACTGAGCGAGTGGGACGGGCGGTGTAAGGAACCTTATTTAGTCAGCTCACAGAAACAAACAAATCAGCTTTGGCAAAGCAGGCCCATGGGGTTAAGCTAGTCTTTGAACTGCCCCTGTACACGCATTACAAGAAAAGTGCAAAGAAGAAGAAAAGTTGCATAAATACATTCATTTTCTTACTTATATGCTGATTGTCTATCTTATGAATTCTAATATAGTGTCATTATGCAAACAATTACGTAAATACCTCCAGAAAGTACATTGCTAATGCATTAAATTAAAGTGATTTCTTGCTGGTGTGATTTTTACCATATCTAAGGATGTACTTTGGGCAGGGGATGGGGGGAGGGGGGGGGCGGGGGAAGAAAAAAAAAGGCAGTCAGCATTGCTAATGAAATTTCGTTCAAAATTGCTGTAATCCATTTTCTGATGAAGTGGCTCAGATGCATTTTACACAACCAAAAATATATAACAGAGAGATAAAAACATTCTTTAATAATAATGCACTTCTGATGAGATGGAATATAGAAAATTACACACTTGCTAAATTCATCAGACTAGACGCAATCAACAGAGCAGCAGAGGTCACCTTTCCCCTGCCCTCGCTTTGCTTTCATAAACAATCACCTGAAATGTAATGCAGTGGTTGACTTTTTCCATTTGATTTAGACACTGAAATGTTCATTATTGTTTTATATCTCACACAGGACAGCTCTAAAACTTGTTTTCCATTTAACCTAAATGCATATAAAAACTAGATATCAAAATGCTGGTCCACGACTTACTGTTCCAAAATAGAAACTAAATTAAAACGGGTATTTTTTTCTTTAAAGGAAGGGATTGTATTTTGCATCTCACATACAGCTTATAGTTTTTGCCACTTCAAAACAATTTCACAAATCTGCAAGATTATACGAAAACATATATGGCACACGTATACAATCTCAAGTTAAAAAAAAAAAAAAATAAAAAAGAGATCGGATGAAACAGAATCACCATAATTCTTCTCACCTTAGAAGCCAAAGCCTCAGCACTTTCACGGCACGTCTTCTCAATTTCAAGATGGTTCTGAATACAGTTTACTTCCTCAATAACCATGTGAGAAACTAGGGGAAGAGTTTAAAAATTAGCCAACATTTTCCTGCATTTGACACATGCATTTGACACATTCATCCCATGATCAGTAATATTACATCTTTTTTTGTTAACTTTCTATGTAAGCATTTCAAATACAGGGAAGTACATACTTAGATAGTCTCCATGGATAAGGAACTGTTTCGAACATTGAATATCTGGTTCATTGCTTTACGCAACTCTCTCAAGCCATGTCTGCAGTATTAGAGGGGGAAGAAAATCAAGCATAAAGTTATGGAAGTAGAAGGCCAGCAGGAGCCTCCCTGACCATCGTCATTCACCATCTTTGTTTCATTAACACTTGAGGAATCAGAGTCAGACCACTAGGACTGCCCCTTCAGATTGCCAACATAATTCTCTTGAAAATTTGGTATGGATGCCGTTTTCAGAAGATTGGAACCTCGATATTTTTAAACCGCACGATTAACTCAGGTGTCTTACAAAGATTATTTTCACCTTCCGGTCTTCAGGTTTTTATGATATTTTAAGTATCATCACACTTGCTAAACACACTGTACATGAAGAGCTGCAGGACGGACATATAGCACAGGCCTGGGGCAAGTTTACTAGGAAATGGAGAAAGGAGTTAAGTGACCAAAGCCTCCATATTTGTAGTGCCTCCTACAGCACATACTCCACTAAAGTCAAATCATTAGCACGGCACAGTTCCTTCTTCTGGTTCTGCCCCATCAGCTTTGACGCTAGCTGCAGCAGCTGGGATACGCCCTGATGGATGCAATCCTGATGGAAACTCAACACTGCGTGCACTGCCGGATTTTTGACAACCTCAACTGAACAACCCAAGTTCTATATTACTATATGGCTGTAATGTCCAAACTGTTTCTTATTTGAAGTCTCTCTGTGCTTGAGCATGCCCTAAAATAAGCAGGTCTGACACCCAGCCTTCACAGTCCTACACAGATTCAGGCACCAGCACACACACATGGACACACACAATCTTCCGTGAGACCAGGGCCGAGAGTGAGCTGCCTGACGGCATCTGACATACATGTCTGTGCCACTGTATTTGATGTCACAGCTGCACGAGCAGGAGACACATCTGTCCTTTGCACTTACGGGATCCCTATTACAGCAGTGGGTACACATCACTGTATTGAAGATATGCAATACTCCTAGAGTGACCAAAAAGTTATGGAACAAATCTTATTTTGTAACATAGGATACCAATGTGAGATAGAGGAAATTTAAAAGCACAGATGCATTTTGGCTTGCAATTCCTGTCAACTTCCAGCAGTACATAGGTACTTAGCTAGTGTTGAAACTTGTCATCTGGGGATCTGGGGCAAAGCAGGAAACCCAACAATAGTTTCCCATCTCTCAGGCTAGCCCCTTGCTCATTGACGCAACTCCTCCTTGGCTCCTGGCACCCTTATTCAATCTAGGCAGCAGCCTGGATCCTAATTCTGCAAGTCATTTCATGGCACAGATTCCTTTTCAGCTCAGTGTCAGGATTTCCGTGTGCAGAAAGGACTATTCGCAGCTGAACAATACTTTGGAGCAGGAACAAGGTTGGAAGAATATAGCATGAATATGGAGGACTTTTTCTAGTATCTCCTTTCATTTTCATGAAGACAAGTTTAAAAAACTAGTGATTTCACACCACTGGGTAGAAAGTCCCGCCTGCCCTCTTCCAAAACTTTTGGCTAAAAACTGAGGAGAGACACTGAAGTCCTCTTTGATATCCAGAGGTCATCTTAATGACTACAACACAGGACTTCAGGATAGGAAAAAGCAGGCTGTTAACAAGTGTTATTTATGCAGCTTTATTGATACTTAGTCAATACTAACTTTTCACTAATAACATAGGAAACCAGCAATACATTGCAGTTTGCTGTCAAATCAGTAGCTGCATGCAAGAAACAAGTTCTACAAAATACGAGCAGCCAAAAAAAAGGGGCAGAGTATTGGGAAATCTTGGTCCAAAAACTATATTCACATGAAGTCTTCTAACAGCAGAGCAACCACACCTCTTTCTTTTATTGTCTTTTTATTTCCATTTTTTCTGGCTTTGGAGAAATTATCTGCTCCAAGCGTGACATACCAGCTGCTACATTTAATTTGAGAGACGAAAAGCTTCGGGTAGTACATGTCATATCTCTTCTGTTTTTATTTTACCTAGTAGAGTAGTACTACTTGGAGTAATGAAATGCTTTGGGCAGGATGAGGGAGCAGTGGACATGCAGAGCTGCTCCCATTTCACAGACAGGAATCTAATGGCCTCAAGCAAGGCTAAAGTTAGGAAACGAGGATTGGGCTCACATGGCAGAACTAGGGATTACTCTTGGTTCATTTAAACTTAATTAACCTGCAATTATGATTAACTCAGGGGAAAAAAAATCTTTCCAAATTAAATACAAAAATGTATTATTTCCTAAGTCTGTCCAAAGTTCTTATTATGTCAATATTAAAATTCATAAAGCTGCACTAAGTGGCCTGAAACATCTCTAACCTTGACAGTTTTTTTCAGGGGTAATAATAATCCGCAGCAAATGCAGGCCAACCAAAAACCACTTAACTAATTAGTAGTTGCAGTCACCGAGAAAACATGAATCAACACTGTTATTACAAGTGGCACATTTGAGTGGCATCTAATTATGACTTGATGAGCACGATACTTGCATTATCAACATTACTACTGCATCCCATCAGGGACTAAAAGCCGCTGATGGCATTGACTGCGAGAAACTCCCACTCAATGGTACTGCAGCACCCAACAATCTCCTTGGCAGGGGCACCCTCACTAAATGACATGTTAAGCGTAATTACTGGTAGACATTGTAAATAAACAGGATTGGAAGTGAAAATTGTACCAAGTGCATAAGACACAATCTGACACATTGGAAGTGGCAGCCTTAATTGAGAGTTTCTTTGACTGCTCAAGATCATTTCAACTGCATTTCTCGGAGGACAGTGATTATAACTGTGGAGACAGACGGCATAATGGTATCAGCACTGCTGACAGAGCAGTGAATTAAATTGTATCTGCTGTTGTGTGAAAGCCTTGATGAGAGGTACAGATCCTTAGTGGTCTTATCATTATAACACAATGGTCATGTTGTCATCAACCTTGCTGGCTCCAATTGAAAAGAAATGATTGTGTGTTGAAGCTTTCCCCCCCACCACCACCTTCTATCTCTTGTGCTCAATAGAACCAATTTTCAGAGAGCTATGAAATCACGCAATAGGGCCTAAAATGCAGCTGCTTGGCATACAAACGGGGCCCCATTAAACTGGAATCACACACAATATGTGTTTATGCCAGGAGAACAAATAGAAGCTGAGTACAGGCCAAGTTTATTCACAGACACAAAGCCGATGTAGCTCTTCATCAATATAATTGCCTTTTATATTGTCGTTTAAATAATGGGCTCTATTATTGCCTTAAAATCCTAATATTCCTGGCATTTTATCACTATGTTTACAAGGTATGTCCTTTAAAAATGTGAAAGGAAGATAAAAGAAACCTATAAAATTTTACAACATCAAATATTACTTCAAATTTTAAGTCTTAACTACTTGACATTTTCTGCCACACTCTGGTATTCCTTGTATCATAATAGAAACAAAACAAGCTGCAATTTTTTCCAGAGGAATTAGACTTCTTAGAGAACATTCTTACCTCACAGAACAGTTATCTAAGATCATTTAAGGCAGTAGATGATTCCTGTTGATTTTAGATTATTTTCCATAATTGTATCACATGAACAATTATAAAATAGAAGTGAGCAAACTCCTCTATTAACACAGTCACACAAAAGTATAAACCATGTGATTTCCTCTCCTGCATTAACTTCATCCACATTTCTGATGCTTCCTCATGCAGTTCACGATACTGGCACAAACTAGACATAACAGACCACAATCCTATTGTAATTGTCTCTTCTAAGGAGCTATTCCACTAGGATACTTCCACTCCCATTAGATGTGCTTTGTTGCTTCCAGGCACCATACAGTTTCAATAGAACCATTACCATAGAAGTGTAAAACTGAATATTGACATTCTCACAGCACAGACAAGACAGAACTTGCTTGAAAAATTATCAAGAGACAGCAGTTCATCCTAAAAACCTTTATTGGTGTGTCTATGCTTAAAGTAATTTTACTCCTTCTTCATGAAAAAATTACCATTATTATTATTATTAATCTCAGTGTAAGTGGGTCAAATCCCACTCAATCCAAGCATATATCATTCCAAAAGTCACTTGCAGAATCCAGGTGAGCTAAAGCCACATTTGTACCACTGGACTTTCACCACTTTGCATCTTAAGAATGGCTACCTTTGTCAGAGCGTATAAATGCTTTGACAGCAGTTAGTCTGACAATGGTCAAAGTCTCACTGGATTAACTCCTTAAAACAAGGCTTTGAAGGAGAAACAGCAAGTGGACCTGAATCTCAGCATTCTTAACACTGCTGTAGAGGAGGATGCAGAGTTATGTTTGTAACTCTCTATATCAAAAAATTCCCACTAACATTATCAACTTACTTTTCTGAAACTCCTCCAGTTTTTTGACAGCCTCATCTCGTTCTTGCTTGATTTTGTCACACTGTAGGAGAAGAGAAAATTGAAATTAAACACTGATCCCAGTCAGTCACAACATGCAAAATCAACAAAGATCAACTGCCAGCACAATAACATACAGAAGCCTATCAAAGCATCATTTCTTTTTGCTCTCAGTCATGTAAGATAGAAACTATGCATAAAAAATTAATTACCCAGAGTATTTCCTAACCAAACTGGCAAGTTGTACTTCATCTTAGGTTCCAATTCAGAGCTACTCTGAAAATATTTTAGAAGAGCCACATTATGCAAAACTGATATAAACAGTCATCCGTGTTCCACAAAACAGTAAAAGCAATACTTTGCATGTTAAGAATATGCTTTAAGTCTAGTTTCTTTAACACAAATAGACTTGGAAGAAGAGAGGCCTACATTTCTATACCTACCATGTGCAATGAAAACCTCAAAGCCAATAAACAGGGACATGCTGTTCAGTTTCATAACATCATGAGCAAAGCTTCAGCCTTGAAGAGGGGAAGACACTCATTTTCATACTCTGAGGATTTCCCATCACCCCAGTTTTATTAATTTTGGGGTTAATGCTAATACTACCCAGGGCTGCAATCACTGATCTTATGATGGAAAGGCTTCTTCAAAGAGAAAGAATAAAATAGACGTTAAATAGACTTCTCTAAGAAAATCCCTTCTATAAGCAAATGAAAGAACTCAAAGAAATGAGTAAACTTCACAAGAGACACAGTCAGTGATTAACCACACTGTGAAAAACACATGACCCGGGGGGAAGTGTGACCGGCACACAACGTGTCTTACACATACAGCATACCAGACATCCTTCCTCACATGCCGCTGTGTATGTTCACAGTAATAAATCAACGCAAAACCATGAGTTAACTTCTGGAAGAGATCTGTGTGTCTGAGTTGCTTACAGTATAACTGCAATTACAAGGATACCGGTCACTGGAACAGAACTGGGGAAAAAAAACCTGAAATGATTTTGCTCGATTTTCAGGTTTTCCACATGAGGACCCACTTTGAGTTAGCTGGGAAAGGAGCCTGCTGTTAAGTAACAAGAAGGGGAAAAGCTCGATTCAAATGCAGCCAAATTCAAGAGAACTCTACTATCAGCTCCGGAGGACCTTGGATGAGGCCCAAAGAAGGATCTGTTCTTCGGCAAGGAAAGGATGCCATTGGTGTCACCTCAGGGGCAGCCTCCACGCAGGCTTTGGAAGCAGCTGTCGATGGCTATCTGTGGGAGCAAAAGGAGCTGCACTCAACAAGCAATCTCTCCTCTCGTGGCACTGGGGTGATGAGGCAAGGGACAGCTGCTGAGGAGGGGGGACAGGTCAGTCACCAGCTGCTGCAAAGGTCTGTGAAACAAGGAAGAGCTGCGTAAGGAGCAAGACATGCTGAGCAAGCGGCGCCGGACGAGGACTCACCGTTTCATCTGGCCCTATTAGCAAAGAAGCTGTTTAAAGCATCTTGCACAGGAGAGGTGGGGAAAAGAAATCTGTGCGTGAATCTTGCTGTCCTCCCTCTCAGTTTCCTCAGCAAAAATTTGCCTTACCTTACTGGCAGAAGTGCAGTCTAAGAACAGAAGGCAGTAAAAGACACAGAAAGAATTTCTGATTGCTCCTGCAGAGCACAGCTCCGCTGCAGAAGGGGATCAGTGTGAGCTGCTGCCTCTTCATATTTTACAAGAGAGACACTGTAACCACACTGGCATACTTCACCCACGGATTCTTCTGCATGCTGCAAGCTTTCAGCCCACTGCACATTAAGCGAGCAAGTGCTTTTAATGCTCAGTTTAAAAAAACAGGAAGATTAGCGTTTTAAGGATCTGATCTGTTGCCTGTGGAAGTCAACAAGACGCTTTCCTACTGATGGAAACCTTGATGTAGAGGACGCAGTACACTCCCTATCCCAATGGTAGGAAAAACTCCTTTTGAAATCCTCCAGCAACATGCTGTAAGGCGTAACAGTGTTCCCTGTGCAGCAAAAGGGGAAGTAAAATGACCTATTGCACTTCACCTTGAGTGCTATTTGCAGAGAGAGCTCCATTTGGACCACGACAAGCCGACTATTCTCCTGATAGCTACGCACGTCTCTCTGCACAATCAGGGTCTGTAGATTTGGGTCTCTGCAGAGCAATTCCTGTTCCCAGTTGCAGCTTTCTGAATATTTTCCTTTTGCTGCTACTGTGCTTCAGAATGAAAGAGCAGGAAGAAAAGGAGAGTGGCAGATTGTTGTCCTTGCTGAAATGATCAATGGAAAGCACTTTGCGTTTTGTCTTGCAATCAAACCCATGCAAGCAGAGCTGTTACAAGTCCTACCAAAAAACCAACCTAGTTTATCTCCAATTTAGCTAAGAATTGGAAAAAGTTGAGATTATCTTTAACTACTTGTACTATTTCAAACTGGAAAGTTATGCAGACAAAATATTCATATAAAGCAATTGAGTTTCATAATAAACAACATTGTCACCCCTTAAAATAAATTGACCTTACCTTTAAAACAGGAAAGTTTTAAAATATCAAAATTTAGAAGTGTTAGCTGCTCTCAAAAAGCCGCGCAGAAGCCTTCAAAATTCACAACCACCTCACTTTTCAAAAAAGCAATTTCAGGTATACACAGTAGAATTGTTAATTGACAAGAATATCACTAATCCTAAATGTTAAAAGGCAAATAGCATAACATTACTATAAAATCTACTGTTCACTTTTCACATTGAAGCACATGCAACTGTTGAGGAGAAACTGTTTTCAAGTATTTACTAGGTCTCCCCTTGTCAGTATTAACAGATAGCTCCGTACTCAAGAGTACCCTCAAATGAAGAAAAAAAAAAAGTCACTAACTCCTGGACTGTCGGTCATTTTTCTGTTTTTATTTTGTTAAAAGTTTCAGCTTCTCTGCAGAGGAAAATAAGCATTTATACCATTTTATTTACTACATTTTTAATCGAATATTTATAGCACCATTATCCCAATAAAAACCAAAGGTAATAGACAATATTCTCATTCCAGTCCTGAACTAACTATAGGGGTCAACGATAATTTCTTGGGAATAAAAAGACACTGCATCTGTATTTTTAGAGACAAGTAACAGTTCAGTTTCCAAAATTCATTTTGTGAATAACTCCTTATGATTTTTCATCTTTGCAGAAACAAGTTCAGGAGCTTTGCCAATCCCACTCAATTTCAGAGTTTTGCCTTCTAGGTTCACAAGATACGAGGCAGTATTTTCATTTCTAGCACACAGAACTGATATGCTGACTACTTACAAGTAAATCAAGTATACGTCAGAGATCAGCATTCAAACCAAATACTGCATATATAGTGAGGTGAATAGCAGCACATCAACTTGGCCTGTACTTGGAGTTAGCACAATACCAGGATAGTACCATGCCATCACAGGAACCTGACACTACAACGTGATGCTGGGAAGTCGATGCACACAACCACCTGGAAGCCCGTGGCTACACAGGTCTCCGCACACCCACTCCCACCAGCCTAATGACTCTTTGTCACTAATTCCGGGGAGGCCTGGGTTTCTTGTCTATTCTCTTCTAACAGGCTTCTTTTTTGCCAACTATTTTGCACATATGCTCCTACTGACTTCAGTAAAGGGCCTCCAAAGGGCAAAAACAAGAAGGAGATTGTTCAGTCCAGATATTAAGATGCAAGAAGTTCACGTAGTAGCCATATAGTCTATTAAGCCATTGCTAAGCAACACAAGATACATTCTTTCCCATTTACACAGATTGTGAAATTTATGCAGATTTAATGCTTGTTCTAAAATTATGAGTTTGGTACAGTGCTCAAAAGTATCCTATGACATTTGCTATACTCTACTTACAGAAAGAATGAGCATGCCGTCAAGGCAGAATACCTTCTCCGTTCCCATTTGGTGACAAAACATATAATCCACTCTATACATGTGCTTTAACAGAACAAACACCATGAATGATGTATCAGAGATAAAGTATTACACCTACTGTTTTGGAAAGCTGTCTTGCCTGGTTTTTTTTTTTCCCCTACTGGCAGCATGACAAAACACTGTCAAAACCAGTGTTCAGTCTCATTTCTGTCTGATTAGCAAGTAGTCAAATATTTATTCATGATCTGACTCTGAATACATCAGAACTGCATATTAAGTTATCTCCAATTGTGTGCCACTGAACATTAGTTATCTATTTTTTCGGAACTGGTATGCATGTTTAGTCGGCTACTTCAATTAAAAGGATGACCTGAGAGAAGTAATCTGCCAATGTCATTTTTGCTCCAGTTTTTGAAAGTATTTAAAAACACTAATAAAAAAATATGCCTGCACCAATTTTGCCAGAGACCCCACCAGAGGTCTCCAAATTGGCAGTTTAGCAAGGTAATGAGAAAGAGACACTGCGGATCAAAGATCTTATATTTTGCTCCTGAATTTTCATGGTTATTAGCATCCTTTTAAGCAACAGTGCTTTGAACAAAGTAACCTATGTCAAAGCCAATTTACTTTCTAATCTTAAGAAAAAATATGGAACAAAGAGCATAAATTTTCAAAAATTAAAATTACATCTTATTTTAAGTTAGCTGCCTGTTATGCACCAAGTTCCATGTTTCTAATATAAACTAGGATCATTTCTCCATGACACAGCTCATCTTTCAGAGCCGTACAAGTGTACTGGTGACTTAGGAAAAAATTCCACTGAGTGTGTCAAAAGCACATACATACAGACTGCTATCTAACTCCTGTGTGGTACTTTCCACAAATAATCTGCAAATCTTTTTCTAAAAAAATTAATTCTCTCTTCTCTTCCTCCTATCGACACAATTAATGTGACCACGATTGATACAGAGGAAGCCGTTTGCTTACACTCACACTGACAGACAGTGTCAGAAACTGGAACAGAAGTCACCCACAGCTTCCAGACCCACAGGCAGAGACAGCCTGTGCTATACTTCCTCCAATATCAGTTTTGATCCTGCAAAGCATAAACTAAGATACGAAGTTAGAGAAATGCTAACGAGCTTT